CCAGTGCCTCCTGACCCCTCAAACGAAGCAAGCCCAGCCCAGAGTTACTCCTAACATAGAAGGACAAGAGCATCAGCTGCTCTCCCCTTTCACAGCTACAACTCTCTCCACATTCAGCTCTTCAGCTTTCTGAGGCCTCCCTCCTTCAGGTCCAGGTCCTCAGAATGGCTCTAGATGCTGTCCCATCCACCTACCTTCACAGCTGTTTTGCCCGCAATATGGCTGGTTCTGAGCCTGTGCTTCTCACATAGCTCCCAGCAGGAGGCTGAGAGGACAATTTCACCTGCTTCCGCAAGCTTTTCGGCCTCACAGACATCCTCCAGGGCCTTGCCAATGACACAGAAGTACTGCTGCCTCTCGTCTCCAAACCTCAGGTGGTGCATATTCCCTGCAGATCCCTGGGAGAGAGAGAGGGAGAAGCAGAGCTCTACAGCCTCCAGCAGTTCAGCTGTTCAGAAGCCAATCTGAACCCCAGCGGGGAGATGGTCATTATGGAGGGGGAGGGCATCCTCCATCCTTCTCGAGGGGCTACTGACACAGGACCCTTAAATGGGTGTTAAGAAACAGACAAACCAAGTGGACAGTGACACTGTGTTGAGAGTGCTGGCTGTCTTAACCTGCCCCAGAAACCCAGCAAACCAAGCCCCTGATCACCGCCCACCCCCTTTACATGCAGGCGGGTTGTAGCTGTCTGCTCAAGAAAAACTACAGCCTGCAAAACCCTTCTCACAGCCTTAAGCAATGCAGCTCTCCTTTGCTCTTTGTGAAAGGCAGGGGAGAATCCAACACGGAAAAGGATGCAAAGCTGCCTCCACCTGAAAAATGAAGGGATAAGTTCCTCCTGCAGGCATCTGGCCGACAGCAGATGCTCAAAGACCCCAATATTCAACCTGACACCTGCTCTTCCTTTGAGCTTCACAGAATCATAAAGCCATAGAACAGTGAGGGCTGGAAAGGACCTTAAGATCACCTAGATCCAGCCCCACTGCCATCTCGCACTAGACCATGTCACCCAAAAGGCCGCCAGATTGGTCAGGCAGGATTTCCCCTTAGTGAAGCCATGCTGGCTGTCACCAAGCACCTTGTTGTTTTTCATGTGCCTTAGCATGCCTTCCAGGAGAATCTGCTCCAAGATTTTGCCAGGCACAGAGGTGAGACTGACTGGTCTGTAGTTCCCTGGGTCATCCATTTTCCCCTTCTTGAAAATGGGGGTTATATTTCCCTTTTTCCAGTCGTCAGGAACTTGACATGACTGCCATGATTTTTCAAATATGATGGACAGTGGCTTTGCAACTTCATTCACCAGCTCCTTCAGGAACCGCAGACGGACTGCATCAGTTCCCATGGGTTTGTGCACATTCAGGTTCTTAGGATGATCTTGAACCAGATCCTCTCCTACAGTGGGCCGAAGGTCTTCATTCTCACAGTCCCTGCATCTGCCTTCCAGGACTTGGGTGGTGTGCTCAGAGCATTTGCCAGTGACGGCTGAGGCAAAGAAGTCATTAAGAACCTCAGCCTTCTCCAAATCCAGGGTAGCCAGTTCTCCTGATAGCTTCTGGAGAGGGCCCATGTTGCCCTAGTCTGTCTTTTTATTTGCTACATACCTATAGAAGCTCTTCCTGTTATCTTTCAGATCCCTTGCCAGATTTAATTCTAACTGTGAACGCACACAAACCCAGTGGTCTGGTGTCCAACTACAGGTGGCCCCTTGAATGCTTGCAGGAGATGCTTTCCTTTGGCGCTAGCCCCGGGCAGGGATCCCTGCGTTCCCTGCCAGTGTGAAGCACAGGAGAGTGCCACAGATCTGCACCTGGCACAGCACTTGTACCTATCTTAAGTCGGAATTTCTGACCCACGAGCATGTCATGCCTCCGGTACTTCTTCTGGACCACTCTCATACGCCTTTGCAGCGCCCTTTCTCCAGGCTTCTCTTCCCACCCTGGGCCTGCAGTTTGGCTTTGGCAAGGGTGGTGGCTCCCCTCCCTCTGCCTCAGCTTGCAGGCCTCTGTGCTGGGGGTGAGGGCAGAGGCAGCACTGAGAGGAGGAGACCTACTAGAAGGTGAAGCCGAAGGCATTTATTGGAGTGCTGGTGAGGGACGGGGGGACGGGGGAATGGGGGGACGGGCTGGTGACAGCACAGCTCAGGCTGCCAGGCCGCAAGAGGAGGAGGAGTGCCAGCGAGTCCAGAGGTCCTCCAGAGGCCTATGGCCTCCCACAAGTCCATCTTTTTCAGCACGTCATCTGGTTTCTGCTGTCCCTGCCATGGAGCGTAGGTCAGGGAGAGTCAGGTCTCAGCAGAGCCTTGACGTTCCCTTGCTTTCCCCAGGGGATGCTGTGCTGCTGCTGTGGAGAGCAAGACCCAGTGAGATGGCCAAGACCATCAGCCTTGTGGTGCACTGTAGCTGGCAGATCCAGAAGAAGTACCGGAGGCATGACATGCTCGTGGGTCAGAAATTCCGACTTAAGATAGGTACAAGTGCTGTGCCAGGTGCAGATCTGTGGCACTCTCCTGTGCTTCACACTGGCAGGGAACGCAGGGATCCCTGCCCGGGGCTAGCGCCAAAGGAAAGCATCTCCTGCAAGCATTCAAGGGGCCACCTGTAGTTGGACACCAGACCACTGGGTTTGTGTGCGTTCACAGTTAGAATTAAATCTGGCAAGGGATCTGAAAGATAACAGGAAGAGCTTCTATAGGTATGTAGCAAATAAAAAGACAGACTAGGGCAACATGGGCCCTCTCCAGAAGCTATCAGGAGAACTGGCTACCCTGGATTTGGAGAAGGCTGAGGTTCTTAATGACTTCTTTGCCTCAGCCGTCACTGGCAAATGCTCTGAGCACACCACCCAAGTCCTGGAAGGCAGATGCAGGGACTGTGAGAATGAAGACCTTCGGCCCACTGTAGGAGAGGATCTGGTTCAAGATCATCCTAAGAACCTGAATGTGCACAAACCCATGGGAACTGATGCAGTCCGTCTGCGGTTCCTGAAGGAGCTGGTGAATGAAGTTGCAAAGCCACTGTCCATCATATTTGAAAAATCATGGCAGTCATGTCAAGTTCCTGACGACTGGAAAAAGGGAAATATAACCCCCATTTTCAAGAAGGGGAAAATGGATGACCCAGGGAACTACAGACCAGTCAGTCTCACCTCTGTGCCTGGCAAAATCTTGGAGCAGATTCTCCTGGAAGGCATGCTAAGGCACATGAAAAACAACAAGGTGCTTGGTGACAGCCAGCATGGCTTCACTAAGGGGAAATCCTGCCTGACCAATCTGGCGGCCTTTTGGGTGACATGGTCTAGTGCGAGATGGCAGTGGGGCTGGATCTAGGTGATCTTAAGGTCCTTTCCAGCCCTCACTGTTCTATGGCTTTATGATTCTGTGAAGCTCAAAGGAAGAGCAGGTGTCAGGTTGAATATTGGGGTCTTTGAGCATCTGCTGTCGGCCAGATGCCTGCAGGAGGAACTTATCCCTTCATTTTTCAGGTGGAGGCAGCTTTGCATCCTTTTCCGTGTTGGATTCTCCCCTGCCTTTCACAAAGAGCAAAGGAGAGCTGCATTGCTTAAGGCTGTGAGAAGGGTTTTGCAGGCTGTAGTTTTTCTTGAGCAGACAGCTACAACCCGCCTGCATGTAAAGGGGGTGGGCGGTGATCAGGGGCTTGGTTTGCTGGGTTTCTGGGGCAGGTTAAGACAGCCAGCACTCTCAACACAGTGTCACTGTCCACTTGGTTTGTCTGTTTCTTAACACCCATTTAAGGGTCCTGTGTCAGTAGCCCCTCGAGAAGGATGGAGGATGCCCTCCCCCTCCATAATGACCATCTCCCCGCTGGGGTTCAGATTGGCTTCTGAACAGCTGAACTGCTGGAGGCTGTAGAGCTCTGCTTCTCCCTCTCTCTCTCCCAGGGATCTCTGCAGGGAATATGCACCACCTGAGGTTTGGAGACGAGAGGCAGCAGTACTTCTGTGTCATTGGCAAGGCCCTGGAGGATGTCTGTGAGGCCGAAAAGCTTGCGGAAGCAGGTGAAATTGTCCTCTCAGCCTCCTGCTGGGAGCTATGTGAGAAGCACAGGCTCAGAACCAGCCATATTGCGGGCAAAACAGCTGTGAAGGTAGGTGGATGGGACAGCATCTAGAGCCATTCTGAGGACCTGGACCTGAAGGAGGGAGGCCTCAGAAAGCTGAAGAGCTGAATGTGGAGAGAGTTGTAGCTGTGAAAGGGGAGAGCAGCTGATGCTCTTGTCCTTCTATGTTAGGAGTAACTCTGGGCTGGGCTTGCTTCGTTTGAGGGGTCAGGAGGCACTGGAAGAGTTTTGGCCCCACCAGCAGTGTCCTCCGTGGGTCACGGAGCTGTTGACAGCTGGGGGATGCTTGGAAGACGTCTGCTCAGCTCCAGTGTTTCTGAGGAAGCACTGCTGTCCTGTCCAGCCAGATAGGCTTCTTCTCCCCTTTTCTGGACAGTGACAGTGGAGGGCAGGATCTGTCCCCTGGGACTCCTGGAGAAGCCAGTGTCAAGTGCTTTCCTTCTGTGTACCTTCAGGTTACGGGCATGAACCAGATGTCTCTGTCGGAATGCCAAAATGTTTTAGACAAGCTTCCACAGAAGGAGAAGTGCTGCTTCACGGAAAACGAATGTGAGTGCCAGATTCACCTTGTTTTGGTTTTGCTTGGAAACGTGGGGCCT